AGAATGTTATTTATCTTAAGATGACTTAAATACCATAGATTTAGCAAACCTATTTCATACAAATATATTTAAACACATTTTCTAAAGTGCCTAAATGTCAAAATTAGTACAATATCTTTACTGAAAAATCCTAATACCAAACACAATATTGCATTATTAGGCTGTGACTCATATTTTTGTGTTGCTGTCTGCTCTAGCTCCTCATAAATCCATGTGAATATATATGTCTGCTAAATTTATTAAGGTAACTTAACAATTGATAATGATGTCCCTGACTGATGATATAATGGGGTGCTCCTGGTAGCCTACCATCGAGTCCTGCGCATCGATTAATCTGTTCGAAACCGTTTCTGTGAGGCAAAATCGCTACTCACTGAGCCACTGAGAAACCCACTTCTTTCCTGATTTTCCTGACTAATCTCACTCATAGCCATATTTCCTCCCATAATTTTGCTCTTCCTGATTTAACATTTTATATTTTCTCTTTTGCACTCATATTTTTGACATATTATTGCAAATGTTTTTTCAGAGTGAACCCACAGAATATGGAGACGACTATACATATAGAAGTGATGTGACAAACACAAGACTTTTTAAAGAGACTTTAAAAATATATTTGAATAGTCACTAAACATTTGTGAATTTACAATGCACAAGTTAAATCTCTATGAGCAGTTTCATGTCCCTGTCCTTTTTCTCCACTTGACATGTTTGTATCTTGAAACAATATAGCATTTTAATTGGGCAAATGTATTATTGCTTATGTGTTGTAATTTTACATTCTTAGAAACTAACTTTTTGATGAATTATATAAAGTGCCAAGATGACGTGTTTGTGACATCTGTATAAAAGCTATAAGACTGATAATTGATTTCTTTTAAATGCGAATGTACAATGTCCTTTTTTATGTAGTGTTGTTTTTGTTGACTTGTGTAAATTAAAGTGTGACAATGTTATTTTAAATGTATTTATTTATTTATTCCATTTTTTGTTTAGAAATGTAAACATGTGAAATAAAAAGTCTTGTGTGTTGGCATGAAGCTCATCCGTCAATCTACTCAAAAGTAGTTCCAACTTTCAAATTCATGTGTTTTCGTCACTTTAACTCTATCACTGTGTTCTGGGTCACTAGCTCAGAGGGGACAATCACCATGATCATCATCACAATAATAATCGGAGCAGAAATAAGTGCCCAACAGGTTTCCTAAGAGACTGTCTTAACTAAACTTTACAGACAGGGCAGTGTTATGATCACTGACTGTATGCACATTTGCTCTGCCTGGTTAACCACACTAATCATAAGGAAAAAAGAGTCACCTTCCCAGGTGTTTATTTGTGAGCCAAAACACTCAGGCGTAAATAATGCTTCTGACAGGATCCAGACTTTGTGTGGCATGTTTGGACACGATTAATCATCAATTGACAATCCTAACCGCTTTATGGCCACACAGGACTCCACTGTAAGTGCAATTAAGCTTTTAATTAGGCTTCCAATCTCTTATGATGGGTGAAGGGAAATCAAGTGCACTGGAATAGATAGCAAAGGGGAAAACAGGTGGCAGAAAACACCTCCCCCAAAAGAATAAGGCCATCACTATATGTTAAGCTGGTGAATGGTTTTTAAGCCCTCAGTGGGTGTGTGTCTGGGAAATGTCTAAAAAACAACAATAGAGATGATTGAATGTTTGTGTTTGTGTTTGCTGAGAGCTTAAGTATTTTTCCAAAGCTTTGTGTGTTTCATATGTGCTGTTTGCCATGTAAATATACCGAGGATGCAAATGGACTGGGAAAAAATTGAGACAGCTGGTGGGCCTTTTTTGTTTGTTTTGAAAAATAAAGTTAAAGTGCCCATAGGCGGAGGGTGAACCCAACTCCAGGGTAAGGCTAAATGTGTGCCTAATATTAATGTAATCCTATTAACACACACATCATAACCCCCTCTTTTAGGCAAGCACATATGTGACCCTGGAGCACAAAACCAGTCAATTTTTTACCAGTATGTGTGAAAAAAAATACAATACATACATTTTTTTTGAGACAGCTGGTGGGCCTTTTTTGTTTGTTTTGAAAAATAAAGTTAAAGTGCCCATAGGCGCTTTAAACCATTCAAAGTCAAAGAGTCACCTGTTTTCCTTTAGTAATACAAAAATACAAATACATTTTTGTATGTATTTTTTTTTTTATATGTATATATCACAATTTTCTCAATATTTAGATTTTCTTGCACCCTCTGATTCCAGATTTTCAAATAGTTGTATCTCGGCCAAATATTGTCCTATCCTAACAAACCATACATCAATGGAAAGCTTATTTGTTCAGCTTTCAGATCACGTATGAATCTCAATTTCAAAAAATTGACCCTTATGACTGGTTTTGTGGTCCAGGGTCACATAAAACAAGGTAATTGCGACTTTTTATCTCACAATTCGTACTCTCTCACAATTGTGAGTTTATATCTCGTAGCTAATTCTGACTAATTCTGTACAATTCTTTTTTTTAAATTTTTTTTTATTCAATCGCGGAAAAAGGTTTTCATATACAAGATAGGCCTATGGGTGTCAAATATTTTTAATACCACTGAATTTGTAGCTATATAATGTGATCATAATTTAATAAAAACATTGTAAGTAATTATAACGCTTTCATTTCCACGGTTATTCAAATAGCACATAAATTACATACAAAAAGCAAGCAAAGAACATTACATTATCAAAGAACATGTTGACTGACTTCAGTCTACCGCGAGTTTAAGCACGCTCAAAAACTCCCATTATAATCAATAAAGGTGCCTACAATGACAAATTAATCTCTTACTTACATCTTATGTACATTTCCACTTTGTTCTTTTTGATGAGAGAATTCGCGAGAGTTTAGAATTCAGTCAGCGTACACGCGCCTAACACAACTGACGCTTCAGCGATGACTCATCTGAACGCCTCTGATTGGCCATTGCATTCATAAGCTCAACAGAATCGTGTGTAATTGGATATAATGTGGATCGCTGTAAAAACGCATAATTTGATGAATCATTAGCAGATCTAAATTTAATGCTGCAATTTTTCATTTCATTTTCACTTTATTGGTGACATCCTTAATAGATTTAGTTTAATTGTACAGGGGCATATTTGTCCAATTTGGTGGCATTTTGCCCCAAGCCCCCATTAATTCCAGACCCATGGCCAGGGGAAGGCTAAGCCTTGCCCAGCCTTACACACGCTCCTCCTATGAAAGTGCCCATTGAATACATTGAAGTATGTAGCCTAATGCTTAAAAATGATGTAAAATGATCTTCTAAAATGTAGAATATTACCACATACTTTTAAAACATCAGCTACAAAACATACTATTGAAAAGACGTAGCCTGTGTAAAAAAAAAAAACAAGCTATATAAAATTATACTAATATGTTCTGATTTCATTTAGCCTAATTATAGTTTCTTAATTTATGCCACTTAACGTGTCCTGCAGTAACGAGATCTGAAGAGCGGAAACGTTGGGTTTGCTATCTCTCTTTGTAGTTTTCTTTTAAGTTAACCTTCACATACATTTTTTATCACTAATATACTAATTTCATAAAACGTTGATATAATTTGTCTTGATTTAACCGTCACCTTAGACATTCGCGCCGTTCCTGTCAGTCTTCTGGGCTGCGTTCAGCCCAGACAAAACGGTGTAAAACGTTTTTTAAACGGAAACGGTGGTGCGTTGAACACCCTGTTCTGATGACGCAAGAGTTGCAACTATGGCAGCTGAGAAGGCCATTCTTTGTGTTATTTTTGAAGAATTTTCGGAGCCTGATTAAATCGGTATAAATACGTGTTTAAAGGGGTCATATGATGTTGCTAAAAAGAACATTATTTTGTGTATTTGGTGTAATGAAATGTGTTTATGCAGTTTAAGGTTCAAAAACACATTATTTTCCACATACTGTACATTACTGTTTCTCCTCTATGCCCCGCCTTTCTGAAACGCGTCGATTTTTACAAAGCTCATCGGTCTGAAAAAGCGAGGTGTGCTGTGATCGGCCAGCTATCCAATCCGTTGTGATTGGCCGAATACCTCAAGCGTGTGACGGAAATCTTACGCCCCTTGCCATATGGTGATGATGCCTTGT